GACAGATCGGTCCCAGCATCACGGGACAGAGGCTTCACCGCCGCTGTCGGGTTCCTTGACATGTCAACGACGGGCCGGAGACTGGGGGACAATTTTAGTGTCGAATTGGAGAGCGGAAGGGATGTTGATGATAGTGGTGGGGAAAGGTCGGGGTCGAGGACAGCCTTCAACAAAGAGAAGTGGCTGCGGATGCCCGGAGAAGCCGCGGGGGAGGCGGTTGCTTGGGTGTGCTTCGGAGCACAAGGGACAAAACGGGAAAGAGAGGCAAAGAAAGATTGCCGGATTAGATAGCTTCACTCCACAACAGTCACAGTATAGTAGTTGCGACAACCCGTCGCGACCACTGTCGTCATACTTTTTTTCCCTTCGTGATGATGCCTGAAATGCTGAGCGGTTTCAGACCAAGCGCCCTTTCATTTGCACAACCAGGTGCACAACGGCATGGGGCGGACGAGGAAGGGCACGAGGGCAGAATATATGTGACAAATGCGCTCACAAAATAGCCTTGTCGCCTGGGCTGCGATGCGTTGGCCGAAAGTGGGGGTCAGAATGGCGAGCAGACACCGAGCTGCCATGGCCCGGCTGCTAATAGCACGACGACGGACCGCCCTGGCGCCAAGCACGAGGAAAAGACGGAATCCATTCCATGCCGGCAATCATGTGTGACGTCCGAAGTTTGAGGATGGACTAGGCCTGGATGGATGTTGGTGTCTTTGAAGCACATGGGGTTTTTTTATTCCTCTGGCTGGCTGACGATGAATGGCAGATGCTGAAAGGACTTTCAGTGTAAGGTACCTAGGTACCCATGGTAGCTAGTGGATTGTTATCTTATAAGGCCGCAAATAAATCCAGTCCTTCGGATTAAACGGCTGCTCCACCTCTCACTGAAGTCTTTGACAAAGAAAGACTCGGCCAGCGAAACTAAAGCATCATGCGGCAATCTGATGTCATATTTCGGCGTTGGACCTGATTGACGTTGTCAGACCCCTATGTTATAGTCACCAGGCCACCAACGCCTTCTACCGTCTGCTGGAGCACTTCAGAAGGAAACAAGGACAGATCCACCTCACCTTTGACCATTGAACCACAAAGCAATTCTCAAAGATGACACCGATCGGCAGCACCGGATCGGCCACCCCATTGCGTGGGATCTCTCCAAGGATGCTAAGGTGACCCACCAACCCTTCAGACCTCCACCGGCACTCACCGAGCCAGCCGAATCGCCGAGCACGGCTTGAAGTGGCTAGCCAGGGACAGAGACAATAACCCCTCAATTAATCCGCCAATGGCCTCGCCGTTTCTGACATCATCCCGACCATCGGCACCCGCCCAGACCCTGAATCGATCGAGCTCTTGGGGAGCAAAGCAACCTTTTTCAATCCGAACGGGCGGAATGTCGAGACCTTCTCGACGAGTCGCGGACCCCCACCGAGTCTATCCTCCTTGAGGGTTTTTGGAGGTCAACAAGGGGCGCCACGGGACGGGAAAGCATGTCCCAGCCTTTGGGGGTGGACTGCTGTGGGGTGAGTGTCACTTGCTCGTCTCGAGTTGCGGCGATGTGGAGGGGGGGGAGTAGTCGCTGCCGTGAAATGTGGTCGCCGTGACGCATTTTCCTCGACGTGCCATTCTTGTCTCTCGCTTCCCATTCTTCCCTCAACGCACCAGCATACCCACGGTCCACTGACGATCATCACTATCCGGAATTTCTTCTTCAAGAGCCAGTCTTACAGTTTCTTCATCTTACATACTAGCCAGCCAAACAAGGGCTGGTCCCTATTCCCCGGCGCAAAGGAGTTTGATCCCTGTTAGAAGACGTTCATCATGGCGGATCGCACACAAATCAATGGTACATCCCATGGCCTCACTAACGGGGTTCGCGATGAAACTGTCAATGGTGCCGCCAGCGGTTTGGCCAACGGTGTAGAGGATGCCAGCAAGCGCGGTTTCATCGGCGCCATTGACCAAGGCACAACCTCTACTCGCTTCATCATCTTTGAGGTTGCCACTGGTGAGCCTGTAGCGAAACACCAGCTCGAGATCGAGAACCATCACCCGCACCCCGGGTCAGTCATCTATGGGATCACGAATCATGACAATATGGACGGACACCTTACTGACCCGACAATCACAGGTGGCATGAGCATGATCCCAAAGAATTGCTCCACAGCGTCACGACGTGTATGGAGGCTGCGTTTGCCGACTTTGTAGAACTCGGTCACACGAAAGACGACCTGAAAGCCATAGGTATTACCAACCAACGGGAGACCACCATCGTCTGGGACGATCGCACCGGCGAGACTCTCCACAACGCCATCGTCTGGTCAGACACGCGCACGGCGGATAAGGCACGTCAAATCAACGAGCAGGCAACAAGCAAGACGATCTCTGATCTAACTGGTCTGCCTGTCTCGACATATCCATCGGCCATCAAGCTATCATGGCTGCTGAATAACGTTGACGAGGTCCGTCAGGTCTGGGAAGATGGTCACCTCATGTTTGGCACCGTCGATACCTGGCTTGTGTACTGCCTCAATGGCGGCTCCAAGGCCAAGGAGCCTGTCCATGTCACCGATTCCACCAACGCCTCTCGCACCATGCTTATGAACTTGAGGACCCTACACTGGGAGGATAGCATCATTCAAACCTTTGGCCTCGACAAACACCCCCTGAGGCTGCCACGGATCGTTTCATCGTCTGATCCGAACGCCTTTGGCAGTATTTTTTCCGGTCCGCTTGAGGGTGTTCGTATCACGGGCTGTCTTGGGGACCAATCCGCGGCTCTGGTTGGACAATGTGCCTTTGCACCAGGTCAGGCCAAGAACACATACGGCACCGGCTGCTTCCTTCTGTACAATGTTGGTAAGGAGAGGCCGGATCTTCGCGGTTCTGGTTCGGGCCTCATTAGCACCGTGGCATACGATTTTGCGACGACGGGCGAGTTTCGCCAGGCAACATATGCACTCGAAGGTAGTATCGCGACAGCGGGATCAGGTGTCAAGTTTCTGGTCAAGAACCTGGGTCTTGGCAACGATGCCCATGATATTAATGCGCTGGCGAACTCAGTGCCCGATTCGGGCGGTGTAGTTTTTGTCACTGCTTTCAGCGGCTTGCTTGCACCATACTGGATCGATGATGCTCGAGGCACGCTTTGTAAGTTACCCAAGCCCCCGTTGTGCCAATTTTTTGAATACTAATGTGTCATCAGTCGGTCTCACTCAGTTCACACAAAAGGGACATATCGCACGAGCAACTCTCGATGCCACATGCTATCAGGCAAAGGCCATCCTTGACGCCATGGCTAAGCAATCTGGAAGTCATCTCGACTCTCTTGCCGTTGATGGCGGTCTGTCCAACTCAGACCTGTGCATGCAGTCCCAGGCTGACATCAGTGGCATTCCCATTGATCGTCCGCCATGCACGAGATTCCGGCTCTCGGCGCCGCCTACGCCGCCCGGCCCTGGCATCGGTGCTTGGACGATGGACGAGCTGATTGCTATGAACGCACGCAAGCAGGGTACTCGGAGGTTCGAGCCCAACGCGGAGAAGAAGGCTGAATACGAAAAGATGTACCGAAAGTGGGGTCAGGCCGTACAGATGAGTCGCGGATGGGCTACGGATGAGGATGCGACTGCTTCTTCTAAAGAACAGTCCGTCTCCTCCAGCGAGGAGGATGCTCCGTTCGACTTGGAGCACATGAACTAGGAAGCAACCCATGTGCAGAACGGAGATTCAGACGTGTTGGACCCTGAAGCGGAGTTAGGGTGCCTTAAGCAGTGGTGGGTCAAGGGCAAGTTTCGGCGCGTCGTGCCAGAAGACGAGCCCTCCTTGAAGAACGGGGCGGCATGGCCCGAGTATGGACTGTACCTAACCGCCGTGGAAGAGCAGTGGTCAGCGGTCCGCAAGCGGTACCTAGATGCCGCGGCTGAGAAGTGTGCTCGCAAGAAGGCGCGGATCGAAGCGGAGGACCGTGACAGGGCGGATGTCGCCATGGCAGCGTAGACCTTGTCGGCGGAGGCGTTGGGATCGATGTGATTGGGTGTTTGGCTTGGTGTTTTGGCGCAGCTGGCTCGAGGCCAGCATGGCAGGATTGGTATGGCTGGGCAGGAGCTGCTCGAAAGGCAGAGAGCAGTTAGACAAGTTAGACGTCAGAGCATTACAAGCGTAGCAAGTTCTCTCAAGTTCTCCCGTTGCTGCGGACTAGTAACGTTGTTTGATCCCTTTTGTTTTATTTCCTTTTCATTCATCATGCCGGGTATCTGTGGTTTGTTTGCCTGTCACATCTAACCGTGTCTGCAGATAGTAGGTGATACAAGAACACCAAGAAAATTTGGACCATCAAGTAAATGGTCGCATCCGACCTCATTTCCAGACCGCACTGCGAGGCAGTTGTAGTGAGTGGCGGAGGCCATTCAGACAGATGAACCCCCCTTCTCACCTGAGGCTCAGACAACAAGAATTTTGGAAGCAAACCCACGCCGATGGGTATCACACTTTTTTTTTTGCCATTGGTCGCTCCTCCTCTCCCCCGTGTGTCGTCTTTCGTGCCGGTTTCCCCACCCCCCCTTTTTTTCCGTTCCGAGGGAAAAAAACACGCTTCCAAGAAAGGTCCAAAAAAAGTGCGAGTGCCTGCTATACATACAAGTCCATACAATCCAGGCGAGATGACAGGAAATCAAAGCATGAACCGAAGAGGACGTCGAGAGAACGGACTGAGAGTACCATTTGTGCCTCAACCCCGCCGCTTTTTCCTTTCCCCTTTTGACGCGCCGAGTGCTAGAGCAGCACGTGTTGTCGTCGCTATGGATCACGTTTCCTTGATATTTTCGGATTATGGATTCCTCGTCTGCTCTCGAGAGTGGAGTTGTGTTCTGAATGATTAAGAGTGATGATTTGCAAGAGTGTGGTGAGAAGAGAAGCTGGAGAAGTACGAGCAGGGCAAGTCTGCCACATCTTCGCCGTTGGTTCGTTTTCGATGCCGGTGCCAGCAACACATGGAACATTTACATAATGATGGCAGGCACATCAACGTTGGCCTTGATGCTCTTGTGGGGAAGAACGCTGCCGCCGTTGACGTAAATCTCATCAGCAATGGTGACATCGTCTCCCAGCACCGTGACGTTCTCGAGACGGGCCCACTTGCCGACAGTGCTGTTCCAGCCGACAATGGTGCTCTTCACCCAGGCGTGGTCCTTGACCTTGGAACCAGATAGCAGAACGCAGCGTTGGAGACGGACACCGTCGCCGATGACGACACCAGGGCCGATGGTGACATTGGGACCAATACGGCAGTGCTTGCCGATTTTGGCGGAGGGGTCGATCAGAACGTTGCCGCCGTGGACGTAAGACTCGGACGCAGGGGCCAGCTCCTTGCAGCCCTTCTTGGTGAGTGACGACAGGTACAGACAGGTACCGGTGAGGAAATCCTTGGGCTGACCAACATCCATCCAGAAGCCCTCAAGGTCGAAGCTGTGGAGCTGGCCGTCGCGGACAATGGCAGGGAAGGTCTCTTGCTCGATGGAGGTAGGGCGCAGTTCGATGCGCTTGAGCACGGAGGTGTTGAGAATGTACATGCCGGCGTTGATGCGGGTACCGACGAACTCGACAGGCTTCTCA